TTAATTTAGTTTAGTCTAATCTAGTTTAGTTTAGTTTAGTTTGGTTTAGTCAAGTCTAGTTTAATTTAGTCTAGCTTAGTCTAGTCTAGTCTAATCAAGTCGAGTCAAGTCAAGTCTATTCTAGTCTAGGTTAGTCTAGTTGAGTTTAGTCTGGTTTATTCTAATCTAGTCTAGTCTAGTTTAGCCTAGTGTAGTTTAGTCTAGCCTAGTTTAGTTTAGTTTAGTTTAGTTTAGTTTAGTTTAGTTTAGATTAGTCTAGTTTAGTTTAGTTCTGGTTTAGCCTAGTTTAGTTTAGTTTAGTTTAGTCTAGGTTAGTTTAGTTTAGTTTAGTTTAGTTTAGTTTAGTTTAGTTTAGTGTAGTCTAGGTCTGGTTTAGTCTAATGTAGTCTAGTTTAGTCTAGTTTAGTTTAGTTTAGTTTGGTCTGGTTTAGTCTAATCTAGTCTAGTTTAGTTTAGTTTTGTTTAGTATAGTTTGGTCAAGTCTGGTCTGGTTTAGTCTAGTCTAGTCTAGTCTAGTCTAGTTTAGTCTAGTTTATTTTAGTTTAGTAGCAGAAAGTAGCATGTTTGCTAGCATATTTGTAGTATGAAATACATGTGTAAATGTGTTTCTAGTATGATTTTTTGATGGCTCGTTTTGTTTGTTTAAATAGTTTGTTTAGTTTGAACTGTTTGAAAGAAAGAAAGAAAGAAAAGAAAAGAAAGAAAGAAAGAAAGAAAGAAAGAAAGAAAGAAAGAAAGAAAGAAAGAAAGAAAGAAAGAAAGAAAGAAAGAAAGACCACAAGTTTTTGTGGTCAAAAAAGAGCAGAGCATTTTTCAATTACACCTTGACAGGCCATATTACAAGTAGACATTACAAAATATTAAGAAATTATACTAGAAGAAGTTGACATCACAAACAAGGACTTCAAAGTGAAATAAATAGTTTTTAAATTAAGCTAAAAGGTTAAACTAACCTTGACATAATGGTCTTTGGATCCAGTGATCACCTGGTCTTTGCCTCCGGCAGAATAACCCACTGTAAGACACATCACTGAGCCGATGTGTCCTGTCAGCTTCCCGGTGGCCTGCATTCTGCACACAGGGACTCCAAAGTCAGAGGACTGCACCACGACATTCACAACTACATATTAACATTTAAAGACAAACTTTATGGTGGCTTGAGTTTGCTTATGGTTCCAACATAAATTAGCATGTTGCACAATTTTAACATGAAATAGCATCCTGTTAACGTGTTTCTGAAATGAATTATCATGTTTCTAGAGTAAATTTGCATGTCTGCACCATTTTTACATGAATTAACATGTCGTTAGCATGTTTCCATTATGAATTAGCATGTTGCTAACAGGATTTTCACACGAATTAGCATGTTGTTATGTGTCTAGTATGATATAACATGTTTCTAGTGTGAAGTAGTATGTTAGCACAAATTTAAAATGAATGAACGTTACTAGCATGTTTTTAATACGAGTTAACAAGTTGAAGTACCATGTTGCTAGCTTAATTTTACAGGAATTAGCATGTTTTTATCATGTTTCAATTATAAATTAACATGTTGGTAACAGGTGTCTAATATTAATTATCATGTTGTTGTTACCAGCATGAATTAACATGTTTTTAGCATGATTTTACAATGAAATATCATGTTTCTAGTATGACTTTACACGTGGGTAGCATTATTTTAACACAAATTAGCATGTTGCAAACATGTTTCCAACATGATTGGTACATCACAAGTATTATTATGCTACCAGAGCTGATCACAGTCTATGAGGCAGTTGCTAAGGTGCTGAAAGTGGTTGCTAGTGTGTGGCCAGGAAGTTAAAAGACATCAGTGATTGGTTATTCATTAAACTGAGTTAAATAAGCCCAGTGTTAAGTCTCTATGACAGTCTGATGCAAAGTTATGAGGTCTCAGAAGCAGAAGAAGGATATCAGTACGATGGCTTTCTCATGCTAACATAATAAAACCCTGCATCTGTGTGTGGAGAACCAAATATGTGCATTCTGATGATCTCTGTACAGCCTACCGCCTGGTTTCTGGGTACATCAGTATATGGCCATCAATAAATGCTAATGCGTTTCTGCCTGTACTCTGCTTAGGAATGAATTACACACCTATTGAGATCCCAAGTGCGGACAGTGTTTCCTGCAGCCGCGTAGAGCACTGATCCTGAAGGATTGAGGGCGATTTGGTTGATTTGGTACTCGCCCTGGGCTGTCGTGATGGTGCGGGTGGTTGTTCCAGCACAGGCGTCTCCCGAGACCACCTGACCCGATGACCTGAAGATTTACATTTTCATGCTTAAGTTATAGATCTATTCAGATGACACAGCTAAATGCTAATAAAAACAACAGGCTCATTGGAAATACGTGCTTCAACCTACAAAAACATACATTTGACTGCAGTTTATAGGCAAAATGAACGCTAGGGGGCAGTAAAGGCGCCAACAACATTTGTTTCTTTTCACACTAATGATGTTTAAATGGACATTTAACTAACGAATGTATGAATTAGAATGTTTCTGGCATGAATGAACATGTTTATAAGATGGTTTTATTATGAATTAGCATGTTGCTAGCATTTTTCTAACATGAACTAGCATGTTAGCGTATTTCTAGTTTGATTTAGCATGTTTTTTCTACTATGAATTAACATGTTATCATGGTTTTAGTATAAAAAATGTTTCCAGTATGAATTGACATGTTAGCTAATGCTAACATGTTTTTATAATACATTGTCATGTTGCTAGCATGGCTTTAAAATGAATTACCATGTTTTTACATGTTTCTAGAATGATTTATCATTGTTAGAATGATTCGGACATAAGTATACATGTTTCTAGTATGAAACAGCATGTTTCTAGAATGATTGGTATGTCACAATCATATTAGAAATGATTAGCTTGTGTTAGCACAGCTGATTTTTCATACAGTTTATTTTTGTACAGTTCCTTGCCCAGCACTGAACAAATACCACAAAATAACCTAATGGGGTCTATCATATTTATTGAACAAGTTTATGACACATATCTATCTCTATAAGGACAACTTTTCTGGCGTGGTCGGTTTGCTCACTTTGTACGATGTTGTATTTGGGATGCAGAAAATGTTAGCCTAAAGCCTGGTTTATACTCCTGCGTTAAGTGACTGACGTAACCTACGCCGCATGCAACGCGCATAGCTGTGCATTTATACTTCTGCGCGCTGTCTCAGTTGGTCTGCATTAACACTTCCGAAATGCTAGTTGGCAGTGAGGTGTAAATGTTCCTCTGTGTCGAGGTTCTCCGCTGGTGTTTTGTTTTATCTGAACGCTTTCTGAAAGTGGTTCAAACTCGCTTATTTTAAGGCAGGAACCGGCAGACGTGGAACAAATTTAACTATGAGGTAAACACAAAACAAAACTTTCCATTCAGAGCTCCTTCACGGGACTCCACAATTGTAAACAATCGATCCATCGGGCTCGCGCCGCTCGCGCGCCTCTCGGTCCCGCCCGACTCGTCAGCAATACCAAGTCAACCAATCACAGAGCTTGCGCCACGCGTCGTTGCGACGTGTAGTAACATTTTTTGAGAGGTGCATATAAGCGACGCCAATGGTGTAGGGCTATGCGTCGACGCGTAGGCTGCACCATAGCATATGCGTGCGCTTGACGCAGAAGTATAAATCAGTCTTTACATTTACTTCAAAAAACACTATTGGATGGGTTTGTGGTTCCCTAGGTGATCTGACAAAACACACTTACTCGTGAACCTGTACAAAAGAAAAAAAATCGACAAAGAAAAAAAATGTTTTAGATCAACGAAAATATCGGCAGTGCCCTCTAGTCAATTTGTCATCTGAAACGTGCAACGAAACGTACCGGAAACGATCTGCAAAAAATGTAGGCTGATGCATGTATTTTCGATGAGCCTTTGATGCAAGAAAAGATACTCACGTGAATGTTCGAACACACTTGGCAGAATCCCGAATGTCCCAAACTTTGATAAATGAGGTTGAAACCGTGAAGACTAGGCTGGAGTTGCAGCAATATTTGACAGATACTACGTTGTTAGGATGCCCTCTCAGGGTCACAATTTCCTGCCCGGTGACCAGGTTCCACATCTTGCAAGTTCGATCTGAATATTGGGTATAAAAAAATGTGTTATAATGTCCACTGCAAATGCGTACACATTTCATTAATGGAGCCATACTGAGATCACAATAGAGGTGTCAAAATTAATTGTTTCTTCGGTGCACCGCGATGCAGACGTGGACAATAAGGTATCGGTTCAGTAATAATCAAAACCGGTTATTATGTACTGACGTCATTTATCTCCTATGCGCTCTGTCGCGAGGGAGGTGAGCGCGAGTATTAACAACACTCAGCCAACTCAGGGCCGGCCCGTGGCATAGGCACCAAAGGCAAATGCTAAGGGTGCTGTATATCCAGGGGGGCGCCAGAAATGAGCGCGGTTCAGTTGGTTTTGTTTTCGATTTTCCTGACACACATTCAGTGATAGACGGCAATAACTCAAAAACCTCTTACCCTAAAAAGATCTAAAGTGAGTTTCCTACAAAAAGACAAAGCTGGTTTTGTTTCACAGCTGTCTTTCTTTTTGTTCGCTCGACATTACGAGCACTGCTCCGTTTAAGCCCTCGCAATATGTGTTTAGCCGGGAGAGCTCGCGCTGAGAGGAGCTCTCAGTAAGGGACCGTCGGAAAAGTGCTTCTTTTTTTCGTTTTTCTGCTCCGCTCAGCGCGAGCTCTCCCTGTTGCGAGGGCTTAAGTGTGTGCGTGTGTGCGTGCGTGTATGTGTGTGTTTGTTTCTTTCTTTGGTGGTGTCTATGTTTGTGTATGTGTTTAAATGAGAGACAGTGTGGTACTGTGTGTTTATACAGACAGCATGTTATAGCCTCCCCCCAAAATATAACACTGTATTGGAAAGCATCGTCAATGCACCGTGATGCACCGACATATCGAATTGAACCGAATCGAAGGCATGATAATCGTAACCGAACCGAACCGAACCGTGAGACCAGTATAGGTTCACACATCTAGATCACAATATCTCTGAAAATAGATAAGTATCTAAAAATGTAGATACTAAAGACAAAGTTTGTTTAGAACTAGAATTTAAAAGGATATTGATATATTTTAATACTTCTATAGTCATATATATGCAAACTTTGGGGAAAAAACTCAGAAAGTGCATTTCCCCATTTTTGAAGTCTTCCCATTTAAATATAACACTTCAAAAATGGGTAAATACAACAAATTTTCCTACTAGACCTACTTATCTCTGTGTAAACACAAAATGATTATGCTGTCATTTTTCTAAAGCCATTTGTAACCCCCTGTTACTTGCCTACAAATCTCAGGTGAAAATTGCCATGTTGACCTGTCAAAAAATGTGTTGTTCAGTAAATATACATCCAAGTTTTTGGCGCTCATTTATGCTTTCCATCACCTGAATAAACATGCTAACAATCTCAAATTTGAGTCAGGAACCATTGGTTCCAATGGCCCAATAATTAAAATTCACCAACACAGTTTGGTACGGAAAAATAATCGCAATCATAATTAGTTTCATGATGTAAATCTGGCAGCTTATTCACAAATACATACAGCATAGTGGGTGAGTAATATCACAAGATATTTGAGTTGAGCATTGTTTACACCAGTGGGCTGCTGAGCTGAAGAATGCTGAAACTTTGACCTTGAAGCGATGAGAAAATGCAATTCAAATTGGCTCATGTGTTTGTGCTTATGGGCGTTTATGTTTTCTTGTCACATGTTCAAAGTGGAATAACTGTGTGATGGTGCGCACTGTACCTTTAGAGCCGGTGAAAAGCAGTTCATCGGTGGCGTCCAGGCAGAGCACAGGTTTGGTGTGTCCTTCAGCCATGGCCACGCACTGCAGAGGGGCTGTCCTGCCCCCCTTCAGCCCACCTGTGGGAGTGATCACACCCCTGCACAAAGACATGCTGCATTTCAAAAACACTGTTGTGAAGACTGTGAGGTTGGTCTCAGAACGAGTAGGTGGAAAGGAGGATGTCGCAACAAAGCTGGTTTGTGTTCAAACGCAACGTGTGCCATCTGTTCCTCACGGGCGGACACAAAAGTTTTTTTTTTTGTTGTTGTTGCATCAGTGTTTGTGGATGTGAGAAAGACTTGCAGATTGAACGGATAGAGGAGAATTTAGAATAAGATGAAAACAGGGAAAAGGTATCCTGATATGAAATGCAGCTGCCAAAGTTCTTACCAGGTCTAGAAAATGTGATCATATCACCCCAATTTTATCCTCCTTACACTGGTTAAGTGTCATATTGATTTTAAGATATTGCTTCATACCTATAAGGTTTTAAATAATCTATAAAGTTTTAAATAATCTAGCTCCAGTTCATCTAACCAACCTCCTGTCTCGCTACAATCCAACTCGTTTTTTAAGATCACAAAACTCAGGGCTTCTAGGATAGCAAAGTCAAGTAAAGGAGGTCGAGTCTTCTCATTTATGGCTCCCAAACTCTAGGAATAGCCTTCCTGATAATGTCCGAGGCTCAGAAACACCCTCGCAGCTCAAGACTAGATTAAAGACCTATCTTTTGAGTAGTGCAATAAACCCAATGCATCACATAGTGGTATGATGCATGAGTGTGCTTCACACATCTCGTTTATATACACTATGGACAGCAGTTACGCTAATTATTCTCTTTATTCTCTATTTCCACCTGGGGATACTCATCCCAAGGCCCCCAGAGACTATGTAGTGCCACTGATGCAATCCAAGACCTGTGAAGAGATGATCCCAAGGTTTCCACAATCCCGGACCAGGCTGTATCCTGAGCAGCTGCTGTGGTGGTTATGGAGGAGTGGAAATTATGATAGTGATTCCTGTGAGACTCCAGGGACAGACGAGTCTTTAATGACGTCCAGCGTTTTCCAGCCTCCAGCGCCTAGACTGCAGCTCTGCACAAGATGATTGGCCATTTGTGAAATAGTCATGCCCAACTAAGCCTGGTTTCTCCCGAGGTTTTTTTTTCCTTCACTATCGCCAATTGGTGAAGTTTTTTCCTCTATGCTGTCACCACTGGCTTGCATAGTTCAGGAATGTTCTAAAGAATCCTTGATATTCTAGAAATTCCATGATATTTCAGATATTCCATGTTCTAAAAATTCCATGATATTCCAAAAATGCCATGATATTGAAGACATTTCATGATGTTCCAGAAATTCTATATATCAGGAATTCCATGATATTCCAGAGTTTCTATAATATTCCAGAAATTCAATGAAATTTCAGAAATTCTATATCCCAGAAATTCCAAACATTTCATGATATTCCAGGAATTGCATATTCTAAAGATTCCAGAAAACTCCAGAAATTCCACAATAGTCTAAAGAATCCATGATATTGCTGGAATTCCATAAAAATGTAGAAATTCTATATTTCAGGAATTCCATGATGTTCTACAAATTCCACGATATTCAGAGAAATTCCATGATATACAAGACATTTCACGATATTCCAAGAATTACATAAAATTCCAGGAAATCTATAACATTTGAGAAATTCCATGATATTCCAGAAATTCCATGATATTCTAGAAATTCTATAATATTCAAAAATTCATTGAATCACAGACTTCTGCTGTCAATTTAAAACAGCATCTTTGGATATGATTTCTGCTGGAGATCCTGTTCTCCTAAAAAAATCTTACACATACATCAGGAACGGTATTACAGAAAATTTGGGCGGATTTAAAACCTTGACTTTTCCAAACCGTGGTATACCTTGAAAACGGTTATCATTCCACGCCTATTCTGAAGACAATCGGAGGTCTTTGGGGGTTTGGATTGACAAGAGCACAAATAACTAATAACATAACTTTCATTTTTGGGTGAACTTACCTTTTAAAGCATTGTGCTTAGCATTCTTACGCTATCATAATTACATATATATTTAAGTTTATACAACAGTTCTGTCTGGTTCTTATATCTGATCAAATCATTATTAAACTGGTGAGTGATATTCTAAGTCCATCTCTCTCTATTGTATGTTGTAGTGCTGTATTTATACAATATAATTGTAGTGTATTGAGATGGGACTCGCATATCAGGAACGTTTGTTGTGTTGGCAGAAAGCAAGAAGAAATGCCCGCATGCGTTTAGCGTTTTTCCTTATCGCAAACACAATAGCAATCTGGTAGTGATTGTGCTGCTTTTTTCAGGGTTAATTATTGTGATATCGCGATTGCAAAAGATAAATACTATAAACTGTAATAGACTATAATATTGTAGGGAGATATCTCTGTAGACGGATGGCATTTCATGTCATGTTCAGCCTTATGATCTTAAAATGTGAGCAAAATCAGCTGTTTTGTCATCACTTTAGACATTATGCTAGAGAATCATTCCAATACTAGCTCTAAAGTGAGGTTAGTGAATTAGTAACGGCTTCTGCTGTTTTGACGTCAGCTGCAGATGTGAATGACTGGCAGAAGAAAGTAGTTCCCCTTTGGATGGGGAACTCCAATGCTATGTGGAAAACCTTCCATTTATGGGGTTTTCGTCAGAAACCAATCATCTGAAAGAGTATAAAATCGGGCCAATGAAATGCCAAATGAATTGGCAGAGTCAGCATGCACAGCTGGCGTCAATGACAATCAGTCAAGTATATAAGAAGCGGCTAGTGCAATGCTCGCCATCCTTTTGAGCTGAGGGGACTTCCATGCTCAACGGCAAAGGGACAATCGTTGTGGCGAAGGTACATAGCATTTCCGTTCCCCACCTCAGGGAACAAGGGTTACTTTAGTAACCGCAGCGTTCCACTTCGGATGGGGAACTCCAATGCTATGTGGAAAACCTTCCACTTATGGGTTTCTGATGAAAATCCCATAAGTGGAAGGTTTTCCACATAGCATTTCTGTTCCCCCCCTCAGGGAACAAGGGTTACTTTAGTAACCGCAGCGTTCCTCAAACAAAAGAGTTTTTAGGCCCTCCGTGCTTGATTTTCTTTTTATATCCATGATTATGCTGTTGAACTGTTGTATAAACACAATATCACAGTCATAGCAGTGCAATATTGCTCATACATGCCATACTTATGGTATGCTAAACAAGTGCAGTGAGCTATTAATTTAAGAGCTTGTTCAGCCAATTGAATTGCTTTGCTGAAATAACTGGATTTGATTCAACGGGCAAACTGAATTGTTCACGGCCAACGTTTAATAAGATGTAGGAATCGAACTCTGCACACTTCAATCCCTCAAATTCAAGCTGCTCACCCTGGAGTTCAATGTCAGCGTGCTGAGATTTCTTTTGATTTAAAGGACTCCAGCTGTGTTTTACAGCACTCCCGTGCAGGTCACCACTCAGGGCGCTCCACGGGTCGCCCAGAACACGGCCATCAGAGAGGCAGACAAACATCAGTGAAAACAAGTGAACACACTCCAGATTTCGAGCAGGTGCTAATTATGTCCTGCCGTAGTACACCACTGCCAAAGCAGCAGGTCGAGCCGATACATGTGATGTTTCTGTCACAGCGACGGCAAAGCCAAGCCGAATGCGCACTTGAAAGGGAGCCTGCTTGACTGATGCAAACTGCAGCCAAGTCCGCTGTGAGTTGTGGTTCAGAAGCCTTAAATCCGCATTTCAAAGCCGCTCGGTTGGTCACTGCTGACTATGCAGGGTGGCACAGAAAGTGGATCTATTTTAAGATCTTCAACGTCCATATGTTTAGCAGAAGCATGATCTGCTCCGGTGTGCTACGAGTGAAGATATACTACTTATTTCTAGACTCTAAAGGTTGTTACTAACACCAGTGTTGGGCACAGGCAAAAAGAAGGATATTATTAACTATGACTCATTTTGTGTGTCTGTAACAAGGCACACTGGGTGACGTGTGCATCAGAGATCCAAAAGGGACTTGGGTATAGGTCTAAAGGCCGAGAGACAACAAGTTGACAGCTGGAGGGGTTTCATTGTAAAGCAACACAGGCTCATTTTGAAAACGTAGTCCCGCAGACGTTTCTGGAAACGTGGTAAAAATCAGACGAGGGCTTTCTTTTTCTAGACGCCTTTTGTTAACCATTTGTTGGGTTTAGGGGAAGTAAGTGGGTGGGCGAGTCAATCGATAAAATTGGTTCGGTTTAGGGAAGGAGGAGGGTGGGTCAGTCATTCAGTCAGACTTAACAGTCAGTCGACAGCGGCCTCTGGTAGGTTTACGCAAGAACAGCAGACGCGAACAGCACTCGCAAGAGAAAACTCCCGGGACGTATTTCGCAGTCTCCAGAAACGTCTACGGGACTACGTTTTCAGAATGAGCCTGGGTTGTTTTAAGGAGGAGGGGGTCACTTGGTGATTTCCAAAAATCGAATTCAATTTATTTAACAACAAGAATTACCATATTTAAATATTTTATTCATAACACACAGAAGAAGAAATAATACCTTTACGGCACTCAAATACATTAAGTGAAGTTTATTCATAAACTAATTTCGAGAGGATCGCGTGCTTATGATTTATCACGGCCAGTCTCGCATTTGCTAATCACTAATCTTCCAATCATATGAGCCCTAAGCCACTATAAATAGCCTCAGTTTTCAGTTCACTTTATCTTCGTTTGGAAGAAACCCCCCTCCTCCCCTATTCTCCTCCTTTACCTGTGATTGGGCGGCACAGCGGTCCAGTGGTTAGCACTGCGAGCCACACAGCAAGAATACTGCCGGCCCTAGTTCCATAGGACCGGTGGGTGTTTCTGTGAGGAGTTTGTATGTCCTCCTCGTGTCCGCATGGGTTTTCCCCGGGTTCTCCGGTTTCCTCCCACCATCCAAAGACATTCAACATACATAACAATCAAGCTTGTCTAATCCCTTACGTTCCCTTAGCTACAGCGGCAGGGGAGTTCTGAGATCCACCGAGCTCGGGCTCCCTTCTTGCTCTGCCAACGGGAGGAAGCCCCGGGCTCGAG